ACCAAAAAAGTACGTGTTATTGTTGGCAATCTGATTCACAAAATTATTTTTTCCCAAAAATGACAACGCTCTTCTAGTGAAATGTTTGACGCTGCAGGTATGAGGTTTGTGTTTGTTATCCAAGGGTAACCTTGACTATGACTTTGACCATAACCTCCAAGATCAAGTCACCAATTTTACAGCAAACCCCTGATTCTTATACTGAATGGAAAAAGCGCAGGTAATTCCACGTCCGAATGTGACCTTGATCCCGATATCAAGGTCATGTCATGCATAATAATTATTTGTATTTCGTGACAACACTTTGGAGACCGAGAAATTTTATATTCAAACGTGTAAAATTTTGACCTGACTTGAAGGTCATAGACAAGGCCACCCTGTCGACAATTTTTGCTAGAACGTCTAGATTTGATCTTGAATTGGTCTTGGCAACGGTCAAGGTCAAATCTGAACGTGTAATTCCCTGCACCGTCCACTATTCAATTTCAGTGGAAAAAGGATTTTCATTCGAAAAGAGTCAATTGACTTTGGAATGAATCGTGATCAACGTCATCTTCAAGATCGACATCATCTTTCAATCTCAACTTTTGTTGAACACTTTTTTATAAGGATACGTAGCTTTTCAAATATTGAGCCGGACGTTTAACATGGGATACCCTAGCCCTGTATCACTTTGAAAGCACCGCTCTTATTATGATGAAATTTGTACATAAGGTTACTGGTATTGCGGAGACAAAAAAATATAGGCTTTGGAAATCGATCCAGTGGCGGTGCAGCTATGGACAAAAAAGAAAGAATCAATATCGCTCAAACTTCGTTTGAAAAGAGGTCCCAAAATGGAACCCTGATGCACTCCTGAAGGTACGAGTGACATCAGATGTAATACCCTTCACTGAAACACATTGAGGCCTGTTTTTAAGATAGCTTTCAAAAAATTTGATTACAACCTCATCACAACCAACGGAACGTAGCTTAGCACATAAAAGTTTATGATCTACTCGTATCTTATCGAAGGCTTTAGAGTAGTCGACTGATATTAAAGCTAAACCCATTTTTTTGTCCAGATCACGAAAGATGTTGTCGCATATGTTTATTAAAGCCGATGTTGTATTATAATGTTTTCTAAATCCCGATTGATTAATTGGGATTATCTGATGTACTTCAATGTATGATGTAAGTTGATGTTGTACAATCTTTTCAAGGATTTTTGACAAAATAGGTAGTAAATTGATTGGTCGAAGATCTGATAGGAGACCGGGTTTCAAAGTTTTTCCTATAGGTATTATCAGTGCTTGCTTCCAAATTTTAGGGAAGTAACCGGTTTCAAGACATAGATTGATAATGTGAACTAAGTGGAAAAATATAACGGGTAGGCTTACCTTTACCATAGTTAGCGTAAGACCATCTATTCCTTTGGCATCTGATTTAAGTGATTTAATAGTTCGTAGAATTTCTGAAGGATCAATGATTCTGAATGAAAAAGAATCAGGTGGAAAGAAGTGACGATTTTTGTATAGGTGACATAATTCTTCCGCAGCATTATTTGTACTGTAAACTGACATAAAATAGTCGTTGATTTCATTTGGATCAGATAGATTATCTGGAAGATATGATATTGATATAAATTATTTATACCTTTCCGACCTCGGTGAGGCTCAGTTATCGCAACATCATAAATATTATAAAAGTTTCTATGTTTCATGTAACAAATTTAATTAAAAATTTATTTTTAGCGGTCCAAAATCGCGTGAAGTTCTATAGATGTTGCGATATTAGTTCTTCTAATTGGCGGTGAGCACAGGAGCATAACTGGAGTAATGCGGGATGGAGTATATTACGAGTATCAAAGGCGGGAGTTCTCTATCAAAGGACCTGTTTCTGTTTTGTGGGTGTTAAGCCAATTGAAGTCCTAATTATCAAACTACTTTAATTTTTTCATAGCGGGCATAATAAAGTCATCATTCAGGCCTCACTCTAATGAATAATGAAGTAGAAAACAAATCAGACTGCGACCTATCTCTCTAATGAGGTATGCTCAAGTAAGCCTGTAAAAAGTAAGCTCATTATAGTGAGCGTAAGAAGAGGGCTATCCGATGGGTGCGTTTGTGAATCGCTTGGTAACGTAATGGCGTAGATTGTCAGATGGAATTTTTCTCTGGAATGCAGTGTAAACTTACCTTTAGATCGCCTAAAGTATTAAAGAGTCACGTAATGACACTTGATGATAGACCACTAAGTTCTCACCACGTGAGCTGGGACCTAATACGAGAAACGATATGGATACGACAAAGCGCATTTTACCTTGTTCAGAAAGTTCCCGGAATGGTCGCCGTGTGGCGCTAGTAGCACTCGGCTGTTAATCCTGTTTGTCTTGTTGTGTGCCCAACTTTCACTGATATTCCTCCCAAATTTTGGCGTGATTTCATTATCAGCAACGCGTTTGCATTAAATTTTGTGTTAAAAATGATATCAACGGTACGTAAACCTTGGAAATGCTAGAAAAATGCTTCGGCAACGATGCTTTGAAGAAAATAGCCGTTTTCGACTGGTCACAGATGGTCGTCAGTCCATCGTCGATGATGAGCGCAGCGGCAGGCTACCGACATAGAAGACAGAAGAAAACGTAGACAAAGTGAAGAAAATGTTGACCACCAACCGCAAATTAACTATCAGAGAGATGGCAGAGGACTTGAGCATTCCTTATGGATCCGTCTAAAGCACTTTGGTCAACGATTTGGATCTCCGTCGTGTTGCAGCCAAGTTGGTGCCAAAAGACTTGAATTTCATGCAAAAAATAACCGTGTTGATATCGCCAAAGACATGATTTTCATGGCTGATTCTGACCCAACATTTACCAAACGCATCATTACTGAAGACGAGATGTGGGTTTATGAGTACGACACGCAGTCAAGCCATCAGGCGAGTGAATGACGTGCGCCGGATGAGTCGCGACCGAAGAAACCCCGTCGTTTCCAGTCGAAAAAGAAGGTAATGCTCACCGTTTTCATGGATTACTACGGCCTGGTGCATAGTGAATTTTTGCCAGAAGGTCAGACTGTCAACAAGGAGTATTATTTGGGTTTTTTGAGATGTTTGCGTGAAGCATTTGTGGGCAAACAACTCGTGGATTTTGCACAACGATAACGCGCCATCGCACAATGCCATCATTATCTGTGAGTTTTTGGCCAAACACATCACGAATACCATTCAACAACCACACAGTTCATTTTTGGCCCCCTGTGACTTCTTCTTGTTCAATCGAATCAAAAAACCACTGAGAAGAGCCCGTTTCAGCAGCCGAGCGGACATAATGGAACCATCGAAGATGGCCCTAATAGAGATACTTAACATCGAGTTTAAAAAATGTTTGGAGGACTTGGCATAAAAGCATTGCAGCCAATGGGGACTACTTTGAAGCGGAGAGTATCGATTTTGAACAATAAACTTGTATTGTTTATTTTTTCAATAAATTCCGGGAACTTTTTGGTCAAGGTGGTGTTCCGCCAATTTTAAGAATACTTTGATTCAATGAACCATAAGAATGACGGGTAACAACTTTCTTGATTCAAGGTTTTGAGCACGGGAAAAAAGTACACCTTTTACGTTCCAGAAGGATTGCTTTGTTATATTTCCGAACGTATGGAATGGGTACGTCAACGAATTACAAACTCTGAAATTGTTAGAGTAAAGTACAGGCTACTGCAATAATCTACCAACGCAGCCGCGGTCGGTGATACCCTTCCTATATTTTGGCTTAAAAATGGCGGTTAAACGTTCCAAGATAATAGCGGCATTCCACATCGGAATATTTCTTCAATGTAACCGCTAGTTATGTGATACATTTTGAGGATCCTCATGAGCACTTTATAAGTGTGGCGACCTTTTTGGAACTAACCTGCATGTCAAAGATCAGGTTCCATCAACGCCATCTTGAAGTCTATGCATTTGGTAAATTTCCATTGCTGTCAACAGTTAGTGCTAGGGATATTTTATTTATTTAGTTCTACAGCTGTTGGTTATATTCAATAAAAAGAGCTCTTCCAAGATTATCTTGCCAAATCGCACGTAGACAAATTATGAGTTTTTAGTTATATTTTTTGACGTGCGACATTTCTGACGTCAGGAGAATGGAGCGTAACCACCCGTGGAAAAATTACTTTGGACACCCATGCAAATAGGTAGGAAACGCACCCAATAGTTGGGGACGCAAAAACTAAATTGACCGACAGTAGCTGTCGCATCTGTATAATCTGTAGTATAGCACCCTCTGCAGCAAGTATGAAGAGACTGGACTGTAACCGCTTGTTGTCTTCGATTATCCTGCTCTAATTGCCAGGAAGGTCTACTTATTAGATTAGAACACAGGACCCTAAATCAAAGTTTTGCGGAAACTTGGTATGAAGTCCTTTCCAGTACCTGTAATAATATTATGGTTGAGCAGCAACTATTAGAGATGAAATCCCTTACATCTATGTTAAAAAAAAATGACGTCAAGTGTGTTGACTTTGCGTTTCCCACGCATTGCTGTCATCAAAAGTTTAGTGCTGACAGATCGGAAATGATGAAAAGGGTAGACGTAACGTGCAGAAATCTACAGAATAAAAAATTAAAACGGTAGATATCAAAATGTATGGTGGCGAACCGTAATGGGAGGAGAAGGTATTTGCTTAAGCACCACTTCTGAGCTCTATCACCGCATGCATGCTGCTGATGGTCCCTGAAGGGGTACACTAATATGCCCCATTAGAAAAATGGTAAGCCTAGATGTTTGGGGGATATAAAAGCGGAGATTGTGCAGTAGAAAGCTGTAGAAATTAAGTATTTTGCGACACGTAGGCGTTGTCAACCAGGCACATCAAAGGCGTCACTCCAAAACTGTGGAATTTTTGTCTAGACGTACGGTTTCAGCCTGTACGATATAAACGCACATCTTAATAAATAAATGAATAAACAAATAAGTAAATACATAAATAAATAAATCAATAGTTTATTCTTTTAAGAGACTTTAGCAAAGCACGAGAAAAGTTAACAACCCACATTACAAAAAAAAAACAACATGACAATACCTCAAACATTACAAGCTTTACTAAGAACATCATAAAAAACACATTACAAATACACTGTTGATTCAGAAACTCATTGACGCTGTATTAAGCTTTATCCATAAAAACATTCACAACGTTGTCTTTGAATTTGTCAAAATTGTCATCTCGTATGGCTTTGCTTCATTCATTATATAATTTCATATCTATATAACTGGGACACGTTCCAGTAACGTTGTCAGATTGTTTGTACTTCAAAATCGACAGATTTTAACGTGAGTGTAAACGGACCTATTGTCGGCCCAGCGCGAGAAGTGGAAATATAACAATAATAATAACGTCTTTAATAAATAACCAACAGGTTCATAAACAGCAAAGTTTAGCCAAGGGTACTCTTACACTTAACTGTTTATGTTAGTTACATTTGATGTTCAGAACAACGAAAAAAAGAATAATAACATAAACACATATACCCAAGCAAAAAACACGCATTTTGCAGTTGTAGTAAGTTTAGTACTTGTTTAACCAACAGCGAGCATCATATTTTTAGTATGCTTTCGGAAACTTTGCAAAAACATTGATTCTAAACTATTTGCTAACTGATTGTAAAATAGCGCTGCGTTATATGTAAATCCTTTTCGAAATAACGCAGAATTGTGTAGGCTGGTTCGAAGATTATAACTACTTATAACAGCCCTGTCATGATTTCGTAATTAAACGCAACTCTTAGATATTCTGGATTTGATAAAAACTGCATTTTTTGAACTAAGCTAAGAAATTATGTTTAACTAGATTAACTGACCTAACCCAGTTGAGTTCCCTATATTTTTCACCAACGTGTTCCTACTTACGCAAACCAAAAATAAAACGTACACAGTCATTTTGGATGATTTGAAGCCTATTTTTTGTCAACTGATCCAAACACGGGTAATAAATAACATCACACTAACTGAGAATTGGTATAACCAAGGATTCACACAGTTTTTTGCTTAGCTTGAGATTTAGCAAGCAATAGCACTTGTGTTTTATCAGGATTAATATTAAGATTATAATCCACAGAAAATTGATGCGTATCATCAGCAAATGTTTGTATTTCTGAATTCTCGACTGTCTTATGCAGGTCAAAGGTATGAATTGAAAATAGCACGGGACCCAAAACTGAGCCTTGTGGAACACCTGATGGTATAGTTGCAATATTCGATTGAATGTTATTAATAGAGACACATTGCAAACGATCTGATAAGAAGCTTCGGAAAGAATCTACTGCAGTATCATCAAAGCCTAAGTATCTCAACTTTGCACTTAAAAGTTTATGAGTTTATGATTAATTCGGTCGAATGCTTTTGAATAGTCAATTGATGCAACTGCCGTGGCTAACATTTTGTCCAATGCCCTAATAACATTATCACAAAGATATAACAGTGTTTGTATTTTAAGTTCCTCTATGTAATGGACATCTTGCTGTTGTATAATTTTTTTAAAAATTTTCGAGAGCACATGTAATAAACTAATCGGACTAAGATTTGTTAAGCTCTGTAGGATTAGATATCTTAGGGACAGGAATAATCAGAGCCAGCCTCCACTGTTTAGGGTGGTATCCTTTTTCCAGACAAGAACCGATAATGTGGAAGACTTACTTTGACCATGGTTAATGAAGATGGTGTCAATTCGTTTGGCATCTTACTTAAGATCTCTAATGGCTTCCAATATTTCCACAGGCTGGACAACTCGCAATGAGAAACGATTTCGATAGTTCAATTTGTTGCAGCTATAAAACCGACTTACATTTTCTGAGACATTGTCGTAGCTATAAACTGCGCAAAATAATTAATAATACGATTTGTATCAACTAGGATACCTGATACTGTTGGTTTTGAACTGAAAGCCTGCTCAGCACGGACCATAAAGTTTTTGGATTATTTTGGTAAGTCAGATTCTGAATGTTCTCTTTTTTATTCGAATTCTATGACGTGCTCTATTTCTTAGCTGTTTGTATTTATCAAGATCTTCTGTTGATTTACTAGATTTGTATGTTCTGAGAGCAGAATCCTTATATTTATCTTATTAGGATTCACGTCTATTGTAAATGTCTGTGAGGAGTGTCGTCAAATGTTCGACTTCATGTCGTTCATAAAGAATAAGTAATCCAGATTTCATGTATATAGATCAGAAATGAAGGCCGCCTCATCAAACATGCTAAAATCTCTTACGAACATTTTTGACGCATCTTTTCGGTAACAAATTTCAAAGCGCACATGGTCTGATATTTCATGAACATCAAGAACTAAACAATCAGTAAAAGTTGCGGCTGATTGGTGAAAACTGGGTCAAGCAATGAGGCTGTGTTGTTTGTTACACCTGTAGGAGATTATTTATTTATTTATTTATTTATATCCAACAGGTAAAACCCAATTACAGGAAATGCTGAAAAAATAACAATTAAAGAGACATGGTTCTTGGACTTAAATCTATAGTATCACACATTCTAAATAAGATTGGATGATCTACTATACAGGGTTATCCAAATTAAGTGTCCACCATTAGTAACTTTGTTATTAGTGAAAATACAAAGTTGTTTGAATTAGCAAACTAGTAGCATTTTTAACGCTGGTAAAAATGAGAAATAAAAAAAAACAATTGAGAGTCGTTATTTTGATTTTTTTCAGTAAAATAACATTTTTTTAAATGGAAACCCCTGTATATTATATTTTTTTCTGTTAAAGCATCAAATTTTAAACAAAAAAGCTTACAATAACTTTTCTCCTAAGTTACAAATTGTTGAAGTTATGGCCTCCAATCTGAAACAATTAAATTGTATCGACAAACTTTATTTTCAACATCAACTTATAATCTTACAAAATACAATAACAATTTTTTTTAAAGAAGATGCTCGAAAACACCACCTTGTTCTTCAATACATTTTTGGGCACGTTTTTCAACTGCTCGAACTGTCTTAAGTATGGTCCTACCATCTATCTGGGTTATCTTTTCCCTAACTGCAGTCTTTAACGCGTCAAGGTTATCGTACCTTCGCTTGTAAATTTGGTTCTTTAAGTAACCCCACAAGAAGTAATCAAGTGGGTTTAGATCTGGTGATCTGGGAGGCCACTGTATTGGGCCATTTGTTCCTATCCACTGATCATTAAAAGTAGTACTTAGAAAATGATAAGTACCTCTGGAGTTGTGGGCAGGTGCGCCATCTTGCTGAAAATGCAGATGATGTCTACTTATAAGATCCAATTCGTCTAAGAAATTAGTCAGAATTTCTGACATAAATTCCACATATCTTTCACCAGTTAGGGTTCCCTCATAAAAGAACGGGCCAACAATTTTTGAACCAATTATACCGCACCAAACGTTGAAACTGAAACGGACTTGTGGGCCTCTTGGATGTACTAACAAAAGATTTTCTCTTGACCAATAATGGTGGTTTTTTCTATTAAACATTCCAGAATTTGAAAAATTTGATTCATCTGTCCATAAAAGGTAATGAAAGTTATTTACATTTTGGCGACAGAAGCTAAGATACCAATGGCAAAAAACAAGTCTTCTCTCTGGATCCCCTGCCAAAAGCGTTTGAACCGGTCGGTACTTATACGGAATAAATTTGTATTTTTTTAAAATCCTTTGAACAGTACCATAACTGAAATTAGAGTCCTTGAGAATATCTGCTATTGAATTCTCACGATAAGCTTCAAAATATCCAATAACTGCAATTTCCGTGGCCTCGCTTATTATGAATTCTTTTTTTGCCCTTGTTTTAGCAAAAACATTTTCGTTGCCCCTAAATTTTCGATAAAGTCTCAGAAAATATCGTTCATACGGTTGAATGCGAGCGGGATATAATTCACTGTAGTATTCTCTTGCTCTCAAGGAGGATTTTCTGCACACTAAATAGCATTCTAACATATCACACTTTTCTTCATGGGAGAACATTTTTCTTTAAATTAATGACACAATAAAGTTTATAAACAAGTATTTACACTAATGTTTGACATTATTTGATTTTATCATTGTTTTCCAAAGCCTTCTAGTTGCGAGTATGTCCAGTTTAACAATTTGTCGCTTATCTTAATGCTGTCAAATCGCGAACGCCATGTTGTTTTCATAGCCGTCTTAATATTATAATACTGCAAATAATTAAAAATATTTATCGTTATTTTGACTTTATTTTTGACTTTAGCGGAAAAGTCATTATGAACTTTTTTGTTTAAAATTTGATGCTTTAACAGAAAAAAATATAATATACAGGGGTTTCCATTTAAAAAAATGTTATTTTACTGAAAAAAATCAAAATAACGACTCTCAATTGTTTTTTTTTATTTCTCATTTTTACCAGCGTTAAAAATGCTACTAGTTTGCTAATTCAAACAACTTTGTATTTTCACTAATAAGAAAGTTACTAATGGTGGACACTTAATTTGGATAACCCTGTATAGCAGTTAATAATCGATGCACAACTGTCACTGTAAATATCACACGATTCAGTAACACTGTTCGTGACGCAGCACATGACATTAATTGGCGATTTTGTCATAACATTTGTACGGCCAGCTTGACAATAGAATGCCGTTTGTTGTCGACTACCTAGCCTTGGAACGCGGAAACATATTTTTTCAAGTAAATTTTGACAGTCAATTTTATTGTGAATGAGGCCATACAAAAACGACAAAGCAAATATGTTTCGTCTTGTTGACAGTGAATCCAAATGGAAAAACTCTAATAGGGCACTATGGTCACAACCTCTTTCTGGATAAGAACCTGTGCATTTAAGGTGAAAATACTTTAAAGCTTTACGTTGAATGGCCTCAAGGATCACGACAGAATTTTGGTATATAGGAGACCAGATCAGAGTCGCATACTCCAACTTGCTCCTGACGAAAATAAAAAATAAAGTCATTAATGTATCAACATTGGAGAAACCCTTCCAGTTTCTGATACAGAAACCAAGTAGTCGAGTGGCAGCCGACGAGATATTGAGTATATG